GGGGCACGTGGTGCCCATCCCAGCCCTGGTGTCACCCTCTGCCCCTCCCTCCCCAGGCAGGACACCCCGCTATCGGCTTCTCACCCATGAACCGCACCCCGGTGCTGCTGCACGACCACAACGAGTTCCTCAACGAGCAGGTCTTCCTGCGGGGCATCGACATCTACGCCCGCCTCCTGTCCTCCCTGGCATCCGTGCCCCCTCTGCCCGCCGAGTCCAGAGTGACCCAGCCATGGGCAGGATGGGGGATGCTGAGCTGCGGGGGTGCCCAGCTCTTTTAAAAAGGGGGGCAAAGGGTGGGCACAGCAAATGCCAGCCAGCATGCCAGGGAACCAGTCGGCATCGTGCCCTGTTACTGTGCTCAGGGCTGGTGCAGTGGCAACGCCTGTGCCATGTCCTGGCTGTGCCCTCGAAATCTGAGCCACAGCCACCCCCCTGGGGGCTGCGTCCCCCTTGCCCAGGTGCCACCAGAGTCCCATGCCCAGGTGCCTCCTGCCTTTACTAGTCTTGGCCATGCCTTCCCCTGTCCCCGTGTCACCTCTGCAGGCAGTGGCTGTGGGAGGGGCTGGCCAGTGCCCCACCCTGCCTGCACCTCATCCTGCCTCCCTGCCCACTTGCCAGGGGACCTGGGGCTGCCGCCCTCCCATCCTCCCCATGCAAGTCAATAAATCTTGGTAAGCACAGTCAGGAGCCGGGGAATCTGTCCATCTGTCTGTGACACTGCCCATGGGGTGTCCACGGATTTCCTCTGTTGGGGGGATCTGCTGGAGCACTCCCCACTCGTTTGGGTTCACTGGGCTGGGGGACAGTGCTGCAGGCAGGATCCTGCCCAGGCAGGCCGTGGAGCTGGGCTCTGGAGCCTCAGGGTGCCGGAGGGAGCAGGAGCGGGCAGCGATGCTGGAGTTGATCCTGCTTGCTCCCTCTCAGCAGCTCCTGCTGCTGTGCTGCTCCTCCAAACCCTCGGGCTGGGGCAGGCAGCGTGCAGGTCTGGGCAGGCAGCCTCTGCTTACCTGCCAGAGCTGCCCACCGGCTGCATCTCATTGCTCCCGCCTCACTCCGCACTGCTCTGCAGCGCCCAGGAGTGCTGGTTCTGTCCCAGAGCCGCCCGGTGCCACCCCCCCCTGCCATCTTCCCTGGGGAAACTGGGGCCATGGGCCAGCTAAGGGCTCACTGGGCTGCATCACGGTGGCTATTTCCTGATCAAGGGGGTGGTGGAGCTGCACCGTTACACAAGGTTGGGGGTGAGCTGGACACCCCCATCGTCCTGCCCTTGTTTTCAATCGACGCTGCTGCAGCTCTCCCAGGGCTGGAGGGCTGGGGCTAATGACTGTCCCAGAGCCAGGCTGGGAAGGGTGATGGGCTGGTGGTGATGGAACTGTGCAGGAGAGGCCACCAGCTCCTTGTCTCCTTCACCTCCATCCAGTGCTGGGGGGAAATCCAAGGCTTTTGGGAGGGGGTGACACTTGTTCAAGTACCATGGCTCTCTGGGGAAGCCTATGTAGGTTCTCAGATGTCTCCTACTGCCATGTACCCTGACCCACAGGCCTGGTGGAGGATGGCATGGGAGTGGTGTGGGTGCCACAGGGCACACTGGGGTCCTGTTTACTGGCTGGGGTCCCTACTCAGGGTGCAGATGAGCAGATACCTTTGTGGCAGGCAGTGTCACATCCCCACTGCCCTGTCCCGTGCGCTTTTGAGTCACCCAGGTCTGGGTGCAGCACCCTGGGCACCCTCAGTCCTGCTCAGCCCCCTTCCCCGCCCAGCCTGGTGTCGCCAGCTTGCCTGGCCACTGAGATGGGACCTGAAAGCCTCGGTGCTTGCTAGTGTTTGGAGATCACCCCACGCTGAGCATCTTCTTGGGGGACAGGCCTGTGTGCCTTCCCCCTCCTCGCTCCCCATCCCCAGGGGTGAGCCAGAAGGGCTGGCATTGCTTCTTTTGGAGAGGGGGGAGGTTGCAGCAAAGCCTAAACTGTAGGCAGACAACGATTTCGGGGTGTGAGGAGCTCTCGGGGGCCTCTCAAGAGGGATGGGACGGTCCCTCATCGTACGAAACCCC